GAAGGGGATGACAGAGGATGAGATGGTTGGATGGCATCACCGACTCAATGGGCATGAGTTTGAACAAACTCCAGGAGATAGTGAAGGACAGGGAAGCCTGGCGTGCTGCAGTGCTTGGGGTTGCAGAGTCAGACATGATTGAGCAACTGAACAACAACAACAACCAATCATTCATTTATCACTTCCTGAGACTATGTATTGGCTGTTTCCCTACTCATCCCTTTAACCCAACCTCTCTGATAAACCCCAGCTGTGTTTTTGAATAAACTCTCTCTTAGCCTGACAGCTCTGAGCCAATTGCGAGCCCCCTCCCCCACAGCACCCCTCCGGCAGGGGGAGTTGGGAGTTGACTAATTTAGCAGCAGACTTCTTTCTCAGCGGGCTCCCCCCAGAGGCCTTAATCTCAGAGTGATGGCAAGTGAGGGCAAGATAACTCCCAGGGAGGACATTCACAATTGACAAACTGTTTGCCTGGTACAGAGTTCAAAATTATAAGGCAAGAAGGGTGTAAGGTAATCATCTCAGAAACTGGTTTTGAGGATCCTGAAACTAGCAATTGAGATGAGCTCTAAGTGTGGCGCTTTGTCCTGCATTTATCTCATCTGAAGGGCTTGACAGCTCCTAAGGAGATAAACACAGTTGGAAGATACACTAGGAAATGCGTGGGCTGAATACAAAACAGTACCACTTGTTCTGCTGCGACTAGGAGAAAAAGCACCTGAGTTTTTAGGCTCCGTATACACAGTAGACAGTTCACACTGACTGTCTCACTGGACATAATGTGCCCCATTGCGAAGGAATGGCGAGCATCGGTTATTTGAAAGATGCCTTGTCTACTGGGTGAGGAGAGTGGATGGGTTTGAATAGTAGGTCAAGAAACATGTAAACTCCCCCAGACCAGGCATCTGTTCATGAAGTTTTTGAGTTGCCAGTTGGGAATGGGGCCCATAGTTACAGATCATCTGCTTTTTCAAGAGAAGCTAAAAAACCTGGAGTTTTAATATGGAATCTTCTCAGTTTAAAATGTTGCCTGCTAATTCGATACTTGTCTTTTGTTATTTGCTTGTTTCTTTTGAGGTTGAGCAGACCAAAGAATACATGCCAGTGGGCCACAGGTACCTCTTAGGCTGTGACTTTGGTGTTTCTGTTCTAAAATAATCTTCTGTTTTGAAAGACCAAAACCTAGTGTGTTTTAATTAAACAACTATCTAGATAGCAATTATTTACTCCTGCTTTATTCTTTTAGGCTGAACAAATTCATAGTGAATAAGATTATTTAATACTTATAATTTGTAAATTAGAAATCAAAACATATCTATTGGCCCTAGGAAACCCAAATCCAAAAAAAAAAAAATCCAGCAATAAACTAATGGGAATATGCATCTCCATGGTATCTTTTAGACGTGTGCCTGCAACCACTTTACTTACACAGATACTCACTTCACAGCATCCTGCAAGATAAGTCTATGTGTCACTCTGTGCTTCAGAGGAATAGTAGAAATTGGGGACCCCCATGCCCTTTGTTATTATTACTATTATTATTATCAGCATCGTTATTATAACAGTGATAATAATACCTTCCAATTCCCAGTTGTCTCCTATATATTATGCACTATATTAAGATTGCCGTCTTGTATAATATATCCTCAGTCTTGAAAGGTTATTATTATTTTCAGTTTCTAGATGAGGAAGCTGAGCTTAGTCCCTACATCATGCCTGGAGTTTATAATGGCATATCAGGTGCTATTTCTTACAGGTTTTATAACTTTTTAATTTCATAGTTCATCATGGGGTGGAGGGCACACATGCATATCCTTCTGGATTTTTAAAAATGCTTATAAAGTTGTAGAGTAAAGTCTGTGGGTATTAGAGATGTTGCAAATCAAAATAAACCAAAAATGGTTACAAACAGAGAAGAAAAAAAAAATCAGAGTTTCCTACTTTTAGCTATGTCTACTCTGACATTTCTTGGAAAGAAAAGGCAAGGCAGGGTACACCTGCTTGGTATTAGGGTCATCCGGGTCTTGATTTCTGAATCAGTTCTCAAATTGGAACCTGTCTGAGGCAGCCAGCATGGAAATATGTTCAGGCATACCTAGAGTATTATTTACTTAGACTGATACAGTTTTACAAAGTGGAGATTGGAAAACACTAGGAGTTCAGATCAGTGGAGAAGTGACTCAGGATGACTAAAATGAATGCAGCATAAAGTCTCTTCATACACAAGAAAAGCAGAAACACTGTAGCAAGCCAGAAAAGTAAAAACCCAGAGGCTGCACTTTCCAGGCTTTAAAGTGAAGTGAGTCACAGAAGATGCTACAAGAGACCATTTCCTCACTGCAGGGTTTTAAGAGCTTTATTGGTGGTCTACATTTAGTTGGAAATAAGTGTGCATTTATTGGTCTATGAAGCACTGTTCCCCCAAGCGTGAAAGTGTTAGTTGCTCAGTCATGTCCAGCTCTTGCAACTCCATGCACTGTAGCCCACCAGGCTGCAATGTCCATGGAATTTCCCAGGCAAGAATACTGGAGTGGGTTGCCATTCCCTTCTCCAGAGGATTGTCCTGACTCAGGGATCAAACCCAGGCTTCCTGCATTGTAGGCAGATTCTTTACAGTCTGAGCCACCAGGCAAGTCCAAAGATTAATACTGTTACATCAAAACAAACTTGGAAGTTCAGTCTTCGAGCTGGTTGTTTAGGTGTTTGTTGACATCTTAATCTCACAGCTTCAGTTGTGTCTGATTCTGTGCAACCCCGTGGACTGTAGCCCCCCAGGCTCTCTGTCCATGGGATTTCCCAGGCAAGGATACTGGAGTGGGTTGCCATGCCCTCCTCCACGGGATCTTCCCGACCCAGGGATGGAAGCCGCATCTCTTATGTCTCCTGGATTGTCAGGTGGGTCCTTTACCACTAGCACCACCTGGGAAGCACTATAGCTTTATTGGTTGACCCAACTCTGCAGTTGAACATTCCCTGAGCAACACAGTCTTCTGTACTCACATGCATCTCCTGCTTTTCAAAGATGCTGATTTTAACAGATATCAGTGAGTGATTATGCTGGATTGGAGCAAAATTAAGGAGAAATTTATTTTCTAATACAGAGGAACTTGAAAGTAGGATTTGAGAAGGCAAGAAACTCAAAGTGAAAAATGCATAAGCTCCCAGGGAGAAGAATATCCCCATTCCTGATTATTTTCCAGGTAGAATAGTCACTTAATAAATATGTAGTAAGTGATCATTGTATCCCAAGAAGTATCCCGGAGTTCACTTATGAATAAAAGCCTTTGGGTAACTTTTCAAAAACAAAAGTTTGATCAAGTCAGTAAGTGAATTCAGTAGACAAATTGCTTGTCCACCATGCTGTGCTAGGGTTTTTTTTTTTTTTGGTGGATCGGGAGAGGCATGGAATTATTCCAGTTTTTACTCTGCCACTGACTTGTAACCTTTCAAGCAGGTTCCTGAGTGTCAGCTTCCTCTCTTGTAAGAGATGGAATAATAATTCCAGTCTTGTAAATCTCACAGCTGTATAGGTCTCACAGGGCTGATATTCACAGGGTATCACAAAGAATAATGGCTGTGAAGCCCTTTGAAATCCAGGAAATTTATTTTCTAATAAATTTGAAAGTAGGATTTGGTCTATGAAGCACTGTTCCCCCAAGCGTGAAAGTGTTAGTTGCTCAGTCATGTCCAACTCTTGCGACTCCATGCACTGTAGCCCACCAGGCTCCAATGTCCATGGAATTTCCCAGGCAAGAATACCAGAGTGGGTTGCCACTCCCTTCTCCAGAGGAGAACATTATGTAGTCCCCATCTTCAAGAAACCTATGTTAGGGTCAGAGAGGTGAGACAGACAAATGCGAACCAGCCAACACAAACTCCTGGACAGTCCGTGTTCAAGAACCAACTATTGGGTAGATACTTTAACCTATCATTGGAAAAGAAAGCTAAAAATGGAGCAGTTGGGTTAAAATGTGATTTAAAAAAATATATCAAGAAACCTAGTGTTATGTATTGATCACAACTATGTACTATGTATGGTTTGGGCTTCCCAGGTGGTGCTAGTGGTAAAGAACCCACCTGCCAATGCAGGAGATATAAGAGGTGTACATTCTATCCCTGGGTCGGGAAGATCCCCTGGAGGAGGACATGGCAACCCACTCCAGTATTCTTGCCTGGAGAACCCCATGGACAGAGGAGCCTGGTGACCTATGGTCCATAGCGTTGCAAAGAGATCTTTACTATGAATCCTGAGGAGTGACTGTCCTGTTAGGATTCCTTCAAAGGCCGTCTAGCCACCCGTGCTTTGCATGCCCTGGAGGACCACGAGGGAGAGGCAGCTGCCACAACGTCCATGTATAAATCGACACCATGCTCCAGAGCTGCCCTAACTCTTTGGACAGGGTATCTCCCCACCTTTGATTAACTTCCCACCTTTAAATTTCACAAAAGGTCCTGAAGCTATATACGTGTTATGCATACACTGACTGTCTAGCTTTTAATCTGAGTCCATCTGACAAGTAAGAAAATGGAGCTTAGCATACCTGAGTGAGGCTGTGTGACTTATATGAATATAAAGGGACAGGCTCATTATCATTAAATTAATAGATTCCAGAAAATACATAAAACACTTTAATAGCACTGAAACCTTAGGGAAGATAATATTTCTATCTCTTCTGAAAAATCAGGCGATTGTTTAAATCATTGCCCTCTGCAGATCCACCATCCAATAGTCCTGGCCCAGAAAGACTTTAGTTTTACCACGTCATGGTTTGCATTTCAGTTTGTGAAGGGTAGATTGTTAGTCCTGAGTCCTAGCTGGTCTCCCCAAAATACATATTTCTATGGGAAAATAAAATTGCACAGAAGTCAAATACAAAGGTAGGAAATGATTTTAGCTGCACAGTGCAGTCTCTACTGGGCCTGTCCTGATTTGCTGTAAATCATAGCATGAGAAGCAACGTGTCTTTCCCACTTGACTGACAGCCATCTATCTTTTCCAGTGCTCTGTTTCCTGTGGTGGTGGAGTACGGATTCGCAGTGTCACATGTGCCAAGAACCACGATGAGCCCTGCGACATGACGAGGAAGCCCAACAGCAGAGCTCTCTGTGGCCTCCAGCAGTGCCCATCCAGCCGGAGAATTCTGAAGCCCAACAGAGGCACAATTTTCAGTGGGAAAAAGCTACCAACACCTGACCCCTTCAAGCCTGTCCCTCCAACTACACCCAGTCCCAGGATGCTGACTACACCCAGTCCCAGGGTGCTGACTACACCCACAGTGCCTGGGCCTCTGAGCCCAAGCACTCCGACAATTAACAGCCCTGATCCTTCCACAGCCTCCAAAGAAGGAGACCTGGATGGGAAGCAGGGGCAGAATAGTTCAATCCAAACTGAACTGGACACCCATAATGTCATTTCCACTGGAAGTACTTCCCAGCCCATCCTCACTTCTCGGTCTTTGAGCATCCAGCCAAATGAAGAAAATGTTTCCAATCCTGACACTGGTCCTACCTCCGAGGGAGACCTTGTCATCACAACGACAAGTGGTTCTGACTTGTCAACTTCCAGCAATGCTGTGACTTGGCAGGTGACTTCGTTTTACAGGCCCTTGACCAAAGAGCCAGAAATGGAGATTCACAGTGGCTCAGGGGAAGACAGTGAACCATCTGAGAAAAAACATGAGAACAACTCTGTGACATGGACCAAGATCAGAGAACCTGGAAATGATGCTCCAGGGGAAAGAAGTAGAGAAATACCACTTGGAGCTCCACCAACCCCTTATCTTGGGGGAACATCTCTATGGCCACTCTTTAGCACAGTATCAGAAGGACTGGTACCCAGCCAAAGGCCCATTACTGTCAAAAATGGAGCATCCAGAGCTGAAGGGATGGTCACTGAAAAGCCAGCTAATACTCCACTCCCTCTGGGAGCAGACAACCAGCCAGCATACTCCAAAGAGCCAGTAAACCATCGCCCCCAAGAACTTCCAAGCAACATGAACCTAACACAGAGTCCTGGACCGGTCCTGACCAAGGAAGATGCAACAAGTCTGATGGCTGAGGGATTTCTGCTTAATGCCTCGGATTACAAGCAGCTCTCGATGGGACACAGCCCTGCCTACTGGATTGTTGGAAACTGGAGTGAGGTAAGAGTTCTGTTTCTTACCCAGGCCTGATTCTATATGGAATTAGCTAGGGGTGTTGCATTTCTGTGCAGATTTCCAAATGGACTTGAAAAAAAGTGAAGCAATCAGGTCCATGCCCTCACCTCCCTCTTCACCTAACTCCAAATATGAAAAAAAAAAAAAGTCCAGGGTAAGAGAACAATGTAGTGAGATAGAGTGAGAAGAACCTAGAACTCAATTGGAGACCTGAGTCAGCCAGTTGTGTGACAGTGGAGAATTCAGTCTGCCTCTCTGAACCTGCTTTTGATCTCCAGAACCGTAAAGCTAGTACAAATCACCTCTCCTCTCCAATGTCCCTTCCAGCTACAAACTGTAAGAATTCTATGATGAAGGACCAAAGAATCCATAAGATTCAAAGAATCCTATGGGAGGAACTGAGTTCATACTTCATTCAGAAAGCCAATGTTGAGAATCTGGTTTAAACCTATCAAGTAGTCACAGTTGGAATGGAAATCTAAAACAAACTTCTTTAAAAGAATTCTATGCTTACTTTATTAACAATTCTTTTTTTTTTTTTGACTCAGTGTTTGCTTGTATTAAAAAAATTCTCTTGAAAAAAACTCTTTTTGACTCATAGATAGAGTAAGAAGAAAATAAACATGATGACAAAACATTGGTTCCTGTTTTCAGGCTACAGGAATTTGGCTAGATATTTGTTTCTCCATTTCTAAAACTAATTACATCCTTTGAAGCATCACAATCATTTCTCACCAATTTGTATTTTGAATGCACAGTATTTGAACTTGTTAAAAATAAATTGACAACTCAAAAGAGAACTTTGTGGCAAAATAATCACATGTTAAATCATTCAGCAATTTTTATGACGATGCATGACTCATCTCCCTAGCCAAAAAGAAGTATTAGCAGCTAATGTAAAAATAACAATGCATTTAATTTATGAGGCATGTTAATTTCCAAACCACTTTCACATGTAGCCTCCTATTTTCTCCTTTTCACAGTCCTGGGGAGCAGGTAAGCTCTCCATTTGTACCAATTCACAATTACAGAAACTAAGATTTTTAACAGTTAAGTGACTTGTCTATAGACACATCAACTGGAAGATGAGCCTTCTAAATCTTTCCACTCTAATCCGCAGTCTCTCTAGTAAATTTTAGCAGCAGCTGACAAGTTCACTGTTTAAAATCTGTTGTATAAATTAGTCAGCACCATTGGTCCCGAAATTGACTATACTGGCAAAAAATAGGTATATGCAACCTTTCAAATTTTTTTTATTTGTATTCAAACTATGTTTTCACATTGATCTATTTTGATTTCTAAAGTGAAATCATGTTCATTACATTTTCTGTCAATGGAGAGTCATCTATTATCTCCATTTGCAAGTAAAGAATCCAGTTTCAGGAGGACAAGAAAGATTTCCAGGCTTAGAGTAATCCAATTTGTTCAAAAAGGAGAGGAATGAGTCTCATGATCCCTAACATTCTGGTCAGATTTCTTTCTGTTAGCAAAGTCTAATTGGGCTCTTAATGATGAGAACGATGTTGACAGTGCGTGCGTATGAAGTGTGTGCTATGCTTTATAGAATGACCTCATGCTATTTCACATGTAGTCACTCCCATAACCCTCAGTTCAGCCCAAGGAGATTGGTAATGTAGCCCCCATTGTTGAGATGAGGAAGAGCTGAAATGTGAAGTAGCTAGCCAGAATCACACACACACGGAAGGGATTTGAACCCAAGCAGACAGACTTCATAGCCTATGATCCATTGCTTTACAATCAGAAGCATCATCACTCTCTCTGCCTTCTGTTTTATTTGTTTCTTCCTTGATCATATGATCCATAAAAACAATGCCAGTTATGTGGTAACCCTGGGTAGACAGATGAGAAAATCACATGGTTCATAAGAAGGTGCTTTCAAATAACATTGAGGGCTTGTGGTTATTCTTGAGTTTGCAGGAGCAAATGGTCACTGAAATGGATTCAGCCAGCCTAGATATTTGAAATGAAAATGTACCGTGTAGGTTTATGAATGGTATCATTTCACAAAGTACCCTCAAAAGGTATTTTTCCTTTCAAAAACATGAGTCACCCCTAAAGGACTTAAATAGGCTTATTGTCCTCTATCCAACAAAACAGTCTGGTCTAAATTCAACAACAAAGAGAACAAGTTATGGAAACTGAGGCTACCTGTTAATTTGTAGGATTCTGTTAATTAGTCAGTGGAGATGAAGTCCGAAAGCACCTTCCATTAAAGATAGTGTGGGTCTTGAGAAAAATACAAGGAAGGACAAACAGAGGGTGAAAGACTAGATGAAAGGCATGCATATGGTATCAATATCAGAATAAAGTATGAATGACATTGTACATAATGGCATATGTACAGTATGTGTGTGTACTTAGAAGTCATGTGCAGATGCACACTGAGGGGTAGGCTGTTGTTAACAATAGAGCCAAACAAGTTGTGGTTCACCAAAACAGAAGTTGATTTCTAGCTCACATAATAACACATGGTAATTCTATGTCTGCAATGGTAGCGGTAGAGAATGAGGCTCTGACCCATGTGCAGTTCTTTGAGACGCCAGTCTGACAATGGCTCTACCATCCTCCCATCTTCAAATTGGCCCTGGGGTCACCATCCTAGTCACAGTTAGGAAGGAAAAGAGCACAGAGGCTCTCCCACAGGAGGTTTTATGGGCCAAACCTAGAAGGGGGCATTTATCACTTCTGCTCATGTTCCACTGTCTAGAACTCATTTGACCCAAGCAAAGTGCAAAATGAATAGAAAACATAATCTAGTTGAATGCTCAGGAGGATGAGGAAAAAGGACTGTAGTGAGGATCTAGCAGTCTCTGCCACTGAATGACATGGCCCACTGTGTGTTTTAGGTGGCCCATTCCGGAAGCAGTGAGGATAAGGGATATGACATGTTGGGAGGATACTGCAGTATCCTAGAAGAGAACTATGACAAGAATGCTTGGGATGAAGAGGGAAAGATAAATTCAGGAGATATGGGGAACTTAAAATTAGTAGGACTTTGTGAATAATTGGGTGTGGAATGTGAGAAGAAGAGAGGTGTAGAGGAGTCTGTCATGACTATTCCGTTGGAATCTTGGGTATCCAATGGGTGGTGCTCCCATAAACTGAGATATCATACAATGTACAGAAAGAGTGAGTTTCAGCAGAGACAAAGAAAGGATGATGAGTCCAGTTATAGATTGAGTTTAGTTGGCAGGACCTTTGGGATATCCAAAGGATAACCAGCAGATGTTTGTGTGTATTTATCTGAGGTTCTTGAGAGTGGTGGAAACTGGAGATGGCATTTGGTGGCCATGACCAATGGGAAGAAGTTCAAACCTTGGAAGTGAGCAAGGTCATCCAAGTACAACCTGTAGGCTGCAAACAGGAGTGGCCCAAGGATGGGACTCTGGAAAACACTAACATTTTAAGAAGCTGGCTGGCAAAGAGATCCCATGTGAAAGACTAGTAAGGAACAGTTTACTAATTAAGACTTAAATCAACAGGTGTAGTGCCACGGACATCAAGCAATGTGAGAATTGACAGTGGACCTAATAGATCTTACAATGAGCAAGCCACTGGTGACTTTTGGGGAAACATTTATAGTATTGAAATGGAAGGAGACCCTAAAGTGCAGCCCAAGGAGAGACCCTTTCAGATGAAACAGTCCTCATATTAGGAGGGTTAATAAAGATGGATAGCTCTTCTCAGTCCACAGAATAATACATTACAAAAGTTTCATTAAAAAGTAGCTTTGGATGACCTAGAAATTAGTTTCCTTTCTCATCCTCTTGTGTAAATGTGTTTTAATGCTTTTGTTCTGAGGATATTTAATATATGTTAATTGACAAGTGTTAATTGATCTAGTGAGAAGTTACTATATTCAAATAAAGTAAACCTAAATAGAAGTACCTATCAACTCCAATGACTGTTTAAGCCCAGAGGTTAATTGAAACATTCTGATTATAGGCAATCAAGATACAAAGAATTAATTCTATCTCCTGTCATCCTTTGACTTTGACAGAAATAAACTGTCTTACTGAGTACATCATAGCTCACCCAATATTTGGCAACCATGGTGGAGCCATTGGGGACTATTAATTCTAGGCAGTTTGGCTGGAAAAGGGGAATTGGCCCAGACTGCAGAGGTTTTGAAAGCTACAAGGATATTACCAGCCTAGAAGTCCACATTTGTCAGGAGTCCCCTCCATGACTGGGCTTGGTGCCTGCTCCCTTTAAGCATCTTTTGAGTCAAAATGTTTCATACACAGAACTGTCTGAGAGGATCAGGATTCAGAATGAAAACTTTGGGTTGTGAGTTTCCCACTGTCCCCTGACTTTTTATTTTACCCATCTCTGAAGTTGTTTCTTTGGGATTGTCCCTCCCTAGAATGGTCTCATTGGCCACTCACTCACTACACCTTAGGAAGCCCAGGATAACCATTGAGATCAGGCTTCCCTGTCCTACTAGAAAACCCTAACAGTTTTTGGGTCTGTGTCTGTCCTCTCATCATGTCTATCATCTCCTCTTTATTTCCTGTTTGTTGTTTAGTTGCTCCATTGTGTACAACTCTTTTGCAACCTCATGGACTGTAGCCCACCAGGCTCCTCTGCTCATGGGATTCTCCAGGCAAGAATACTGGAGTGGAATGTTCATTGCAGCACCACTGTTTACAATAGCTAGGACATGGAAGCAACCTAGATGTCCATCGTCAGATGAATGGATAGGGAAGCTATGTACATATACACAATGGAATATTACTCAGCTATGAAAAAAAAGACTGACTGCATTTGGGTCAGTTCTAATAAGGTGGACGAAAGTGGAGCCTATTATACAGAGTGAAGTAAGTCAGAAACAGAAACACCAATATAGGATATTAACACATGTATATGGAATCTAAAAAGATGGTAATGATGACCCTATATATAAGACAGCAAAAGAGACACAGATGTAAAGAACAGACTTTTGGACTCCGTGGGAAAAGGAGAGGGTGGGACGATATCAGAGAATAGCATTGAAACATGTATATTACCATATGTTAAATAAATGACCAGTGCAAGTTCAATGCATGAAGCAGGGCACTCGAAGCTGGTGCTCTGGGACAACCCAGAGGGATGGGGTGGGGAGGGAGGTGGGAGGGAGTGGGGATGGGGTACAGGATGGGGGGACACCTGTACACCTATGGCTGACTCATGTCGATGTCTGGTGAAAACCACCACAATACTGTAAACTAATTAGTCTCCAATTAAAATTAATTAATTAAAAAAAAGAATACTGGAGTGGGTTGCCATTTCCTTCTCCAGGGGATCTTCCCAACCCAGGGATCTAACCCATGTATCCTGCATTGCAGGCAGGTTCTTTACCACTGAGCCACTGGGGAGGCCTCAATGAACAGGAAATAAAAACATCGTGTCTGTCATCTCCTCTTTATTTCCTGCTCATTTAGGCCCAGTGGTTTCCAGTCTGCTGCTGGGCGGCATATAGAAAAAAGTAGGGATGCTTTGTTTGTTACAGTGCGGGCGGAGAGGCTGATGCCAGCATTCAGGGTCTAGGAGCCAAAGATCATGAGGGTCCTGTGACATTTTGGGAAATCCAAAATGCCAGTAGCACCACAGTAGTCAAGAATGGTGGACACTCGGTTGCTACTCTTGTTAGGACCCTTGCCCTTGCTCTTGCCCTTGCTGGTCTGGGTACTTACTATCTCTGCTCTCCCCAATGCTTTCCACATATCGCAAGCGATGTATTGCCATATTACTACGATATTACTCTTCCTAAAGGAATTTTCTAATCATTCTGAACACCTAATCATAAATTGCTAATGTCTCTTCATTGCATATCAGATCATACAAAGTCCACTCTATTATCCAACAGCCCTCACATCCTTGAATAATTCAGCTTTCAACATACTAACTCCTATGCCTTCACCCACCTAAGCCTCAGCAAATCTCAACTGCTTTGTTTCCACTAAACCTTCTGTTCATCTCAGCTCAGTTCCTTTGTTTCCATGGTTTTCTCTGCCTGAAATTTCCTTCTCCTTCTCCTTTTATTAATAAATCCTACCTGTTCTTCAGTATCAAGCTTTGAGCTGCGTCTTCGATAAAGACTTTCTTGCTCTTTAATATTGGAAGTAAGTTCTAAAGTTCCTTAGCATTTGATCAGAAATCTCTCTTACCTTTGTCCTCCCACTTTCTGTCCTGTGCTGAAGGGCTGTTCACAGCATATGCCTCTAACTACTTGTGATTTCAAATATTAAATGTGTATGTCCGACTCTTTGTGAACCCATGGACTATAACCCACCAGACTTCTCTGTCCGTGGGATTCTCCAAGCAAGAATACTGGAATGGGTAGCCATTCCCTTCTCCAGGGGATCTTCTCAACCCAGGGATCAAACCCAGGGTTCCTGCATTGCAGGCAGATTCTTTACCATCTAAGCCACCAAAACCAAGTTCATATTGTGAATAGACATAAAACTTGAAAGCAGACATTCTGGGTTTGAGTATTAGCTCCATCACTTACTGACTGTATGTTCTCTCCACACCCATTTCCTCATTTTTAAAATGAGGATAACAATGCCTATTCATATGATTATTATGAAATAAGAGGAATAACTTGTGTGTAGAAGAGTGTCAGGCATATAGGAAGTGCTCAGTGAGTATTTACTTTGAGATATATTACAAGACAGAAAACTCTGGAGCTTCACACTGTGCATGGGTGTGGATCTCACTGTGACAGAAGATCACTTCTCATCCCATTGCCTCCTCATTCAGTCAGATCCCCTGGGCCAGTCAGTGAAATGTATGCTGTGCAGTCATGTAAATGGAAGTGACAGTGTAATTTTCCACAGCCTTTCACAGCAGTTTTCACATGATTCTGATATAGCCCTGCACAGCAGTTCCAGTTCTGAACACCCCAATACCTGCTCCTTGACCTGGTAAATCAGTTATCACAGGGCCACTGGCTGTAAGGAGGGAGAAGGTTCCCAGGACAAAGAGAAGCTGTTCCTCTGCCTCCTCAGGATCTCGTCTCTGCAACCCACACTCCCAATTTTAAACCAACATCGGAGACAGTCAGTGGAATCCCCTTTCGCTTACTGCATTCCATGAATGTCCTCCTGTCATCTTTGTCTTTGGACTCGTTTGCTGCCTAAATTGAAATTGTCAAAAAGGAATTAAACAAATGTCTGCTCACATCTGAACCCTACAGGACTAGACTCAGATCCCCAGAGACACGTTTATTTACCACATAAATATGGCACACAGAGCTATAGACATCACTTGAGATGTACCAAGGTCATCACTAGCCTGGGAATTTGGTTTCACTAGCTCCTCTCCTGGGTTTAGAACAAACATTGTTTTTTTTCCTTGCCATGGTGTGAAATTAACATTGTATTGTCTTTGTGACCTTGAGCATAACTGCTAAACTCTTTGGGCCCCATAAATCTGGAGAGTGGGACTCACAGCGCTGACCTTGCAGGTGTGCAATATTTGTTTTTGTCGTTACTCAGTCGCTCAGCCCTGTCCGACTCTTTGCAACCCCATGGACTGCAGCATGCCAGGCTTCCCTGTCCTTCACTGTCTCCTGGAGCTTGCTCAAACGCATGTCCATTGAGTTGGTGATGTCATCCAACCATCTCATTCTCTGTCGTCCCATTCTCCTCCTGCCTTCAATCTTTCCCAGCATCAGGGTCTTCTCTAATGAGTCGGCTCTTTGCATCAGGTGACCAAGTATTGGAGCTTCAGTTACAGTGCTATGTTTAATAAGTAACATTTGTAGATCACTCACTTTGTGTATGGATTAACTCTACTGTTCTCACAGCAACTTAAATGAGGTCCTAGTCTTATCACCAATTTTACTTGCTAGAGAAGTTAGGAAACCACCAAAGATCACACAATTAGTGAACTGCAGAATTCTAATTGTATCCTGAATCTCCGAGGTTAGAGAAAATATAGGAAAAGTACCTGTTGTGTAGTTGTATCCATTATCTATTACCACAATAGTGCTTTGTAACAACCAACCATAAAACCTCAGTAAACGTTCATTTTTGTCCATGAGTCTGTGGATTGCTGAAAGTGTCTTCTGACCCAGGCTGAGCTTAGCTGATCTCAGCCTGGCTTGTCATGCATCTGGTGAAGGGTTGGCTGAAGGCTGGCTGGTCTGGGATGGCCTCAGCTGGGTCACCCAGCTTGATTTCACATGATCTCTCATCCTCCAGTAGGTTAGCCAGTTTTATTCTCATGGTAGAGACAAGGGTCTGAGAGAGAGAACTGAAACAAGCAAGATTTCTTAAGAACTTGCACACCATCATCCACTGCATTTTCTTGGCAAAAGAAAGGTACAAGAACAGTCCTGATTCAACAGCTGGGGAAATAACATTCTATCATTTGATGAGAGGAGCTGTGAAGTCCATTGCAAACAGCATGGGTGTAAACAGTGGGGCCACTAGTGCAATGAGTCTATGCACTTCAGCTGTTATTATCTCTAACATATATTATATATATGGGCTTCCCTGGTAGCTCAGCTGGTTAACAATCTGCCTGCAATGTAGGAGACCCCGGGTTCATTCCTGGCTAGGGAAGATCCCCTGGAGAAGGGATAGGCTACCCATTCCAGTATTCTTGTGTTTCCCTGGTGGCTCAGCTGGTAAAGAATCCACCTGCAATGTGGGAGAATTGGATTCAATCCCTGGGTTGGGAAGATCCCCTGGAGAAGGGAAAGGCTACCCACTCCAGTATTCTGGCCTGGAGAATTCTATGGACTGTGTAGTCCATGGGGTCACAAAGTGTCAGACATAACTGAGTGACTTTCACTTTCACATATTTTATATATGTTTTATGTGTATTATGTATATGTGTATGTATGTATTATGTGTATATATGTATAGGTCTGTGGAATGACTACAAGTTACAGGAACACTGCTGCATTTCATCAATGCTGTTCATGGAAAGGGAAGAGTAGAAAATAGCCTAGGTCAACAGTTTTTTCAACTGGCTCATTTATGGAGGTAAATGGGCTTCCCTCGTGGTTCACTGGTATGTATACACACATAATACAGTGCTCAGTTGTGTCTGACTCTTTGTGACCCTATGGACTATAGTCCGCCGGGCTCCTCCATCTGTGGGATCTTCCAGGCAAGAATACTGGAGTGGGTTGCCATTTCCTTCTTCAGGGGATCTTCCTGACCCAGGGATCGAAGCCACCTGTCCTGTGTTGCCGGGCTGATTCTTTACCACTGAGCCACCAGGAAAGCCCATTTGCCTCCATAAATGAGCCAGGTGAAAAAACCGTTGACCTAGGCTATTTTCTACTCTTCCCTTTCCATGAATAGCGTTGATGAAATGCAGCAGTGTGCCCGTAGCTCGTAGTCATTCCATAGACCTTCTAGCCAGGATACTTTGTAAAGGGAAGCAGATTTCCATTTGCACTGGGATTTCCTCCCGCATAGAAATCAGGGATTCTCAACCCTGGCTGCTTATTAGAATCAGCTGGGGTTTGTTTTTTTAACTACTGCTGCCTGAGCCCTACCCTCAGCCATTCCGATTGTTTGCGGCGGGAGCCCCAGCGCTGCTAAGTTTCTGAAGCTCTGCGCAGGGTTTAGTGAGTAGCCAAGATGGAGGACCCCTGCCTCCGGGGTGGGGTGGGGCGGGGTGAGCTGTACGTGAGGAAGCTGCCCTGAGCCTCTGTCATCTCTCCCTCCTCCCGGGCAGTGCTCCACCACGTGCGGGCTGGGGACCTACTGGCGGAGCGTGCAGTGCAGCACCCACGTGGATTCCGACTGCGCCACCCTGCGGAGGCCAGACCCGGCCAAGAGGTGCCACCTCCGTCCCTGCGCTAGCTGGAAAGTGGGAAACTGGAGCAAGGTAATGGATCAGCTCAGCAGTGTTTCGCGGGGTGGGGGCGGGGGGCGGGGGGCGGGGGCGGGGGGCCTTACACCAGCGCCATTTGCTAAAGTAGCTTCCTGCCTCCCTTCTGCGATAAACTGGCAGATGAGTGAACCATAGGCATTGTCATAAGCCTACTTTCAGCTACACAATAGCCTCAGAGCAAGCACGGAGTTTTCATTAGCCCACATGTTTTTATCCGCTTGTCCTCCCTTACCGGATAAACTGAGAAGGAAAGAAGTTAAATTTGTGTATTTAATTTGCTTGTCCAGCCTGCGACACTATTTCTAAATTGCTTAAACTTAACATTATAATTAATAATGATACATGAGCAGATGTATAATTAAATCATGGTTCAGCAGCTGCTCACAAAGCATAGAATCTACCAGACTCAAAATGAAAAGAAAGCTGAAACATCAAAGGTTGGTCTTTAAAAGCGTCTTTCCTATGTTGATCTCTTTGAAGTGCGATGTTCCTGTCCTTGCTAACCTAGAGTCGTTATTGATTTCTCTGTGCTGCCTGCATAGTCCCTGGTGAAAGGCTTTGTCAGGTCTTCGGATTGGTTGGCCTTGGTTCTTCTGGGCAGCAATCAGGCCCCGATCACCTGTCACCGGGATGGGGCTGAGCCAGCCCCTGAGGAATACAGATGCACCCAGGTCATAGAGCCACTGGTCGAGATGGGATTCAGAGCCGCTTGGCAGGAGGGGTGCAGAGGTAGGAGCTGTGCATACATCTTCTGTTGCCAAGCCCACCCTCCATACCCCCTCACATCAACACACCTTGTAGGCACCATTGCCTTCTTCTCTCTGGGGAGCCAGTTTCCCTTGATGGCCTTGACGCAGAAGGAGAAAGAGCTGCCCCAAAGTTTGGGGAGGCTGGCATCTGTTAGCACCCTCATCTGGTGGAAAACTCAGGTCCCCAGACAAGCAGGACCGTGAGGTGTCTCACTGGCCATCTCTGGTTCTCCTGGCAGACTTACCCGACAGACAGGAGCAAGGACTGTCATTAATCTGCAGTAGGCTCCCTTTCCCAAAGAAAGGCTCTGACCTTTGGCAAGAGAAAGAAAGTAGGGCTACTCCCTGAGAAAATCACCACACATTTCTTTGATCCTTGCCAACCTCCCTTTTTTCTGTTCTCATACCGTTTTTCTTTAAGGAATGAATGCTGGTTCTTTTTTTTTTTTTTTCTCTTCCAACTCATAACAAATTCCAAAAGGGACCAAATGCCTGGCTACAAATTCTCTTCCATATCCGGAAAAATCTCAAGAAACATTTCTGTCACTGACCTTGCCAAATGTTGACCAAGTCCTAAAGTTCCACTTTCCCATCACTGGGACTAATCCTTTCCTTGGAAATTACATGGCTCATAAAAAGGACAGATGTGTGAAGTATCTCACACTTTTAAAAAGGTCAGTCCAGTGTAAAATTCCAGGAATTCTAGCTGATAGAAAACTGGAATGGGAGAGCCAGTAGCTCTTGGTGGGGTCAGGCCCCCTAAAGGAAGCCCTGCGCTGACAGCTCATCCCTGCCCTGTCAGTCTCTGGATCTCTTCTCTGTTGTGGCCAGGAGGCTTGCTGATACACTTATTAACCCCTGTGCCATTCCTGATGTGGTATAGAAGCTGTCTCGGACACATCACCAAGTTTTGCCAGAATGTGGCGACCACTATATCTAAACTCAAATCCTCAAAGTTACTCCATTCCTGTCAGTACTATCCTATCTCCTCCCTCAGATAATAGATAAACCTTCTGTCAAAGACCCCATTTAACTACTGAAAGTCAATTGCCCTGACGTCTGTTTTTTTCTGTCATTAGGAATATTGAATGCGGGACTTGTGTTTTTCCTAGAGATGTTGATTTAAATGTGGTCTTAAATTTTGGTGACTGAATGACACCAAATTTTGGTGACAGCTTTTTGACATTATTAACCAGTCCATTTGGATGTCTGAAGTCTAAATCATGTACTCGGAAAGATTTGAAGGGCATCTTAGTTTCACTGTTCTGTTGGGACTCTTAAACTTACTCAGAGGCAGACCTCCAAACCTAGAGTAGGCTCACCCCTGCTTTTACCTTTAAATATCCAGAGAGGTTGTTGTTGTTGTTGTTTTTTAGTTTGTTGTTTTTGTTGTGTAGCCTCTAAGTCGTGTCCAACTCTTTGTGACCCCATGGACTGTAGCCTGCCAGGCTCCTCTGTCCATGGGATTTCCAAGGCAAGAATACTGGAGTGGGTTTCCATTTCCTTCTCCAGGGCATCTTTCCAACCCAGGGCTCGAACACATGTCTCCCACATTGGCAGGTGGATTCTTTACCATCTGAGCCACCAGTGAAGCCCACCCAGAGGGTTTAGACTCTGCCAACTCAATGGTTTTCCTTTTCACAAATACCTTCTCAGAGGGACGAATTCTAATTTGATCTTGAGTCTTTCTGCATTATCCCACCAACCACAAGCTCAGATCCAGAGACACCTTAATCTCATGGGATTACGGGTATGCCACAGCCTCACCTAAAGCCACAGGGATCACACGTGAGGTCCCCCAGATTACTCACCAGAAACTCCCCACTGCTGTGTGTGCAGTCTGAATTGCAGCTGTTTTACAGGCTTCTGTCTCCAGCACCATTCATCTCCTTGATGGAGTCCTGATACCACTGCTGTGGACATTTTCTCATATTTGTGACAGTACAATGAGCCTGTGTATTAAGATCTCTACCTTTACAAAGTCCAGAAGTTATTTTTGGAATGACTTGCTGCTTCTTCATGCATTGATCTGTCTGAAACAAAGTTGAGATCATGGTCTTTAGGTTTGTCCCAGAGGCATACTGGAGAAAGCGTAGTTCTACAGAATTGAATCCTAGAAGCAGCACTGGGCCTTGGATCAGACATGTCTGGGGTGGCAGCCCCACTCTGTCACCAAGGTCTTCCCTGGCAGCTCAGATGGTAAAGAATCAGCCTGCAATGCAGGAGACCTGGGTTCAATCCCTTAGTTGGAAAGATTCCTCTGGAGGAGAGCATGGCACTCCAGTATTCTTGCCTGAGAACCCCATGGATGGAGGAGCCTAGCAGGCTACAGTCCATAGGTCATGACGAGTCAGACAGGACTGAGTGACTTAGCACACTAGCACACACGCTGTCACCAGTGTAGGGTGCTAATCCATTCTTCCAGCCTCTTAGGAGCTTTAGTTTTCTCACCTCTGGGAAATGAAGTACATCACATGGCCTCTACCAACCTCATAAAGTTGTACAAGTCAAAGAGTGTTCGTGAAACCACTTTGTAAATGATAAAAAAAACTGTTCATATAAAGCCTTGGGTGAACTTTGAGCTCTGGGTAAAGGCTAGGAGTAGTTCTCAGGCGCTTACTAACTTCTGGCTTCCTGGACTTGGGGCAGGGGACTGTGAACAGGGGTTGGTGGAGTAAGTCCTGTCAGTCCATCAAGTCTCCACTCCCCAGTACTAAGGAGTCAGCGTCCTCCATGAACTTTGGCAGACTTGACCTCCCTGGTGTCCTGGCACTCACCAAATACCCCTACATGCCTGACACTACACACGAATTTTAGATGAACAATCGTATTTTCATCCAATAAAGGACCTTCTTTATAATTCCCACTGAGGAAGTGAAGGCCTAGAGGGTTTAAATCACTAGCACATGATCAGTTGGTACTGATACTCTCAATTCTGAAAAACCATCAACTGGGGGACAACTCATCAATGTAATGACAGCTTTTCAGAAGGAAAGGAAACACATAATAAATATGTATGTCAGTCTAAGACGCATGCCATTTCAGAACATAAAATTTGTCTAAGGGAAAAAAAGCTGATTCTTGTGCTGAAAGAAATGCAATAAGTGACAAAGATGAACTTAAAAAACCTTCAGTTGGGTTTGACACCAAAGTTATGCATCATCACACACTTCCTGACTGAACATTTTGACTGTACGTCTAGCAGCTTTATAAACTGGTGATTTAACAACCTCTTTATTATCTCTCTCAGAATGATAATAACTTCTCATAGTTCAGTCGAACAGATTTTGATTATTTCTGAAATGAATCAAAGATTTTTACATTTTCTTGGAATGATCTGTCTCCCCACCTAGGCGGTGTTGCAATTTTATTTTACAGTAGCTGACTTTATTATCTGTCACTTTTTTTGAAAATAAAAGTGGCAACCTTTTCTTATGACCTTGCATTTCATAATATTCAGTGCTACATTTTTTTTTTTTGGATCTGAACTTTTATAAATAAATAATATAGGAAAAGAGACCCTGTCTTGCTAAGTACAGACTTTCATATATAACATGTTCCCAGAAACATATTGAAGCCCAATGTGTAAAATTTCATAACAGAGAATTGCATGTTATAGGGGAGCTTCTGTGCCCAGAAAGCAAAAATTGACCTGCCAGAAGGAAAATAATACACTCAAAATCACTGCATTTATTTTCTTTTGGTATTATTTACTGTATGTCTAACCTATTACCCACTTTTGGAAGCCCCAGGTGTTTTAGATGAAGGGAATCCCTAAGTGAGAAAAGAACAGCAATTAAAGAAAGCCTTCAAGATCACTTTAGCTGAGGACTGATGTTCAAACCATGAGATCCTTTATCGTGGCCCCTTCCCATCTCTCTTTCTCCATCTGTACCCTCCACTCTAGCATTCTGATAGTGTCGGGAACGTGTTGTTCCCGAACAAGACTTGTTGCTTCACTCCACTTGCATAGTCATTCTTTCCACCTTGAATGTCCCCCGCACTGTTTGCCAGCTGAGTGAGCATTTACCCATGTTACAAGATAGAGTTCAAGGTTTGGCTCCTCTTTTCGAGCCTTTCCTTCTTCAAGTAAAATCAACCACCTCCTCCTCTGTTCCTTCACTGGATTATGAACAGCTTATGACGTATCATCTTCATGACTTCTGCTCATTGCATGACTTTTTCCTTCTGCTAGATTGGCGTACAGAGCCGGCACATAATTAAGTGCCTAATAGCAGAGAGGAAGAGAAGTGTGGGGATGGGGTAGGAGAGTAGACAGATGAATGAATTTTGGTGCCATTCAAAATAGAATTTTGGGGATGAATTATTTTTGAATGATCTTAAGAGTCTTATGAAACTGTTTAGTATTAGGAAAGGAGCAAAAAAGAATTATTTCCATGTCCTTGCTTAGTACTTCCAGAGAGCAAGAAAGTATTCTGAAACCAAAGCATAATACAAGTCCAGTGATCCCAGACACTTATATCACTATAGAATATGAAAGAGTTTAATCATCCAATTTATCCTCTTTTTAATGCTAATGGAGAAAACGGAGGCTTACAGAGGTGCAGTCACAAAGCCACTTGGTGTCAGGGAGATACTTGAATGCAGTCTCAGTCAGTTCAGCTCAGGTCAGTCGCTCAGTCATGTCTGACTCTTTGCGACCCCATGAATCGCAGCACGCCAGGCCTCCCTGTCCATCATCAACTCCCGGAGTTTACTCAAACTCATGTCCATCGAGTCAGTGATGACATCCAGCCATCTCATCCTCTGTTGTCCCCTTCTCCTCCTGCCCCCAACCCCTCCCAGCATCAGGGTCTTTTCCAGTGAGTCAACCCTTCACATGAGGTGGCCAAAGTACTGGAGTTTCAGCTTCAGCGTCAGTCCTTCCAATGAACACCCAGGACTGATCTCCTTTAGGATGGACCGGTTGGATCTCCTTGCAGTCCAAGGGACTCTCAAGAGTCTTCTCCAACACCACAGTTCAAAAGCATCAATTTTTCAGGGCTCAGCTTTCTTCACAGTCCAACTCTCACATCCATACATGACCACTGGAAAAACCATAGCCTTGACTAGACGGACCTTTGTTGGCAAAGTAATGTCTCTGCTTTTTAACATGCTATCTAGGTTGGTCATAACTTTCCTTCCAAGGAGTAAGCATCTTTTAATTTCATGGCTGCTGTCACCATCTGCAGTGATTTTGGAGCCCCCCAAAATAAAGTCTGACACTGTTTCCACTGTTTCTCCATCTATTTCCCATGAGGTGATGGGACCAGATGCCATGATCCCACCATCTGCAGTGATTTGGGAGCCCCAAAAAATAAAGTCTGACACTGTTTCCACTCTTTCTTCATCAATTCCCCATGAAGTGATGGGACCAGATGCCATGATCTTAGTTTTCTGAATGTTGAGCTTTAAGCCAACTTTTTCACTCTCCTTTTTCACTTTCATCAAGAGGTTTTTTAGTTCCTCTTCACTTTCTGCAGTCTACTGATTCCCAATTTCAGTTTGGTTAATTTCACTATACTCATTTGAACACTAGGTAGGAGTCCAACATGGAAAATGTATCAGGATGGCTCCATAAATCAGAAATGACACAAGGAAGAACTGGTTGTGAGTGTATTATTTTTCTCTCTGCCAGTGGCTCCTGTAAGCTAAGAGGATTCTTCATTCTAACTCAGTCTGGTTTGCTGATCACATCAGTTAAACAGACTGGCGTGGGAACCAGAAAATGGCTAGACCTGTTTGGTCACACATGGGCATCAGCCAGTCCTTCTATTCTCCTTAGCCTGGCTCCTGTCCTCAGTCTGGTCCACAGGCTCCAGGTTAGGAAAACAGGAATATAAATAGCCCTCCTTTAGGGCAAGAAGAAAATGAATATAGTAATTGGCATTCGATACACCAGGGCAGAGCAGTTTTCAAAGTGGAGTGATTTAATGCCCTGCTACTTCCCTCTTGCTAACTGAATCAGAGGCCCTTCTGAAAATGAAATAGAAAAGTCACAGATTTAGTGAGTGTCTTCCTTAATATTTACTTCAACATATTAATCAACTTCATTTCCCCCTGACTGTGAATGCACTCTTTGACAAAAGGGTAATGCTAATTTGAAAACTCTAGGAATAACAGATTGTAGCAACAAATGAAAAATAAGAAAATAAACCCGCATTGTACACTATGTCTTGTAAAATTCCTATCCCTAATAAAGAGCCCTCTTGTCTTAACCTTGGGTTATTTCCTGGAAATCTGTCACACAAAGGGCTGCTTTGTGTAGAATTTTCTGCCTGTTTGTTCTGTGGCTGATTTTAAACTGGCAGTTATTTCGTTCTCTGTGTGCTTACAGCATGGCAGGCAAATGAAGTTTTAAATTTGCTTTTGGGAGGCTGTCTGGCAAGTGTTGCTTATTTCTGAGAAGCTAAACACACTTGATTTATGGAAGCATTAGAGCATCCATCCGCCCCCTTGTCTCATGGGCCCACATCTGCTATGCTACAACCCAAGTTTTGCATTCAGGTGACTTGCACTATGTGCCAAATGGCAAAAAAAAAGGGGGGGGTGGATCACTATTTTTTGAGGTACTCTAATGAAAGGTTCTGAGAAATTTTCTTTCACCATCCACAACACTACAATTATGGCTATTCCACCATAGCCAGAAAGGGAACATGGTATTTTACCAAGTAGAGAAGGGGCCAGATGGAAACATACCCTACAGCAGTGGGCTTTGGTGGTGGTGTATTTTCTCAGTCAAGATGTAATGAGAACATTTATGGAAGGATGGGGAGGGTGCAGAAGGCTGCTCTTTATCCCCATGGTAACCACAGAGTTCTTTGGCCCACTGGGAATCCCCAACTTCCCTTTTCTCAGAATTCATATATTCATTCCACAAGCTGTGAGGAGCATCTGTGCCATGCCTGGCCCCATGGTGGATGCTCAAGACGCAATGGTGACCAAGACAGATGGGTTTCCAGCTTCAGGGCAGTGAAACAGTCTAACAGAAAAGCTGGACAGAATAAATAGAAGTTGTTTCACATTTCAAGTTCTTGCAATGGAAACAGAGAAGAATTTGAGATGAATAATAAAAGGAATAGATATCCTTTGGAGAAGGTATTCAAAAATGACTTCACAGAGGAGGTGACATTTAAGCCAAGTCTAAAGGAAGAGCAGTAGTGAGTAAAGCAAAGGATGGAGGAAGGAAGATTCAGGATATAAGGACCACAGGACATATTATTAATCCACAGAAAATCCAGGGGAGAGGGGCTGAGGAGCTCAGGGCTCAGCCTCCATGCAATCTACCTCGGGTCCCCACCTGGGAGTGGGCAGTGACAAGACAAGCCGGGACTGGCCTTGAGAGACTAGGGTGCACAAGCAAGATGAGCTGAAGGGAAACTGATCATGATAGCATTCTATATAGACTGAAGACCAAGTCTTGGAAGCTCGAGTTATGATTGAATAAAATCTACCTAGATGAAGGATGGAGGAGCTTCCAAAGTCCAAGAGGTCAAAAAGTAAACCACAGAAGTCCTCCTGAATGCGCCACATAAACGTAGGTGATTTGGGGACGGCCGTGTTTGTCGTGAGCTTCTGGAAATCAGCAACCTGCTGGTGAAGAGTTCCTTTACTGGGATCAGGGTGCAGGGGCTGCTGCACAAGGTTTGGGCATGGGCGGCGGGGGGCGGGGGGAAGACCTGTCTAAGGGCTTGCACTGGGCATGGGTTGAGAACACCCTTGGTGATGGAGGCATGCTATGCCAGCCTTAGGAGGAAAGATGATGGGCGATGATGATGTGCAGGGAAGCCTGGCAGTGGGGCCAAGGACAGGGTTCGCCTACTCCCGGGATGAAACCACTGAGCAGTTATTCACTTTGTTTTCCTTCAAAAATGGTAACCAATCCTGTGTCCAGAGTCAGGGAGAAAGGAGGTCTTCAGCAGGATTCTGAGGGGGAGTTGGGTGTGTCTTGGCAGAGAGCTTCCCTCGTGGGCAATTGCATTTGCCTCCAGTGAACACAGACATCCTAAGGAACAGCTGCACTGGCGTCACCCAAGCCCACCCCCACGTAGTCTTCGGGATAGCCCCGTATAACAGTTGTTGCCCCAGTTTACAGACATGACAGCTGAGGCTCAGAATGTTTCTGCAGCTCATCCAAGGGCTCACAGTGAGTCAGTGACAGAACAGGGTTTGTCACCCGGTTCTTACACTTCCACACCTGCATTTTCTAACACAGGGAGCCCCATCTTAGGGATCTGCTAAGTGACTCTTCTCTCCACGGTGTGTGAGGAAAGACAGGCCACCAGCCTCTCTAGAAGCTGGGAACTCAAAGCTGCGAGCTTTGTGATCCTTTGTGAACCCCCTGGATATCTGGGCATGGACAGCCTGATGCCAAGGACTCAGGTGTCCCCTTTTCTTTCACTCTCTGTACAGTGCTCCAGAAACTGCAGCGGGGGCTTCCAGATCCGGGAGATTCAGTGTGTGGACAGCCGGGACCACCGGAGTCTGAGGCCATTTCACTGCCGGTTCCTGGCCGGCCTTCCCCCTCCACTGACCGCAAGCTGTAACGTGGAGCCCTGCGAGGAGTGGCAGGTGGAGCCCTGGAGCGAGGTACTGCGCCTAGTGCACCATCTACACAACTGGGAAAATGGGAATTTCTGTGTCACCTTGTGAGTCCAGGGAAGACCACACATCCCTCAGGCCAGTGGCTGGCCTCCTTACATTCACGCCTTACACTGTGTGTGTTACTGATCCAAAGGTGGGTCACTTGCCCATACACAGTAAATCCAATCTGTTGACACCAGGTTGTGGTGAAGGAAAGTGTAGCATTTATTATAGCTAGTGTGCTAAGCAAGGAGTCCAGGTAGTTAGTGTTTAAAAGGCTTGAATTCTCGAAGGCTTTCGGGATAAAGTTTTTAAAATCAGAATGGGGCGGGGGGTGGTAGGAGTAGTAGGGTGTATGTTCAGCTCGTGGAATTCTTCGGACTGGTTGATAGTGAGGTAATCAGGAGTCAACATCATCAGCCTTCTGGGTCCAACCCCAGCCTTCTGGGGTCTACATGCTTGTGGGCAGCATATAGTTAACTTCTTCCCCCTGATAGGGGTTTCAATATCTATAAAACAGCTCAGAGGACATGGCTCAGATTATTATCTATAGCCCTTGAAAAGGAAGTAAAGGTCTTTGACTTTGTTTAATGGCCAGCCCAATATTGTTATTATTATTTTGGTTTTGCTTGATTGTTTTCCTTTCTGCATTTTCTCACTTTGTGATTAAATTTACACTTTGGAAATTGGGGAAGGCCAAGGAAGTTTTTCTCTAGACAAGAGGCGGGTGGAGGACATGGTGGGGGAGGTGGAGGTGGGGGTGAGGCTGTGCTGGGAAGGCCCCTTAGGGTCCTGCTCAGTTGCAGGTGGGGAGGCTGGACAGGCCCAACAATTTGAAGGCTATGTTGTGTGATTTAAACTGTGACTGTTCAGTGTTTTATTATGACCTAGTCTCAGTGGATATACTGGGGAATTGGGGTTGTACATGAACTGCCTTGATGAGCAGCATATGGGACAGATCATCACATGCCCCTCTTAGCCTGGGCATAATGGTCAGATCCTTTCCACACAGTATGATTTCAGAGTCCTACCTCTCAAATGCTCAGATCTTGCTTACACAAATAAAAAGAGGGATGTGTGTGTGTGTGTGTGTGTGTCTCCATCCTGTGTTGCAAGGGCTGGGATTCTGCTTCATCTTTGTCTTACTTCAGTATGTGAAACCAAGTTACTGTTCTTTGGTGAAATATAATGATTTCATTTCCCTTGTGGCTTCAATAAAAAAGAAAATACTCCCAACTACACTATGATAGAAATAAGAGGGAAAGAAAGAACTCTGTGTGTTTTGAATGTGTCCATGCACTGGGCATTTTACCTACAGTACTTGTTTTAATTCTTGTAACAACCTGGATGGTAGGCCTTATTGATTCCATTTTATAGGTAAAGAAAGAATTTAATTGAGACTCAGAGGTTAAGAAGCTTACACAACTAGAAAATAAATTGTGGAGTATTAATTCAAGTTTCAAGTTGACTCTGATTCCTGTATTCTATACTGTAGAATTTAGCTGAATAGACATGGACCAAAGAGAGAACTAAGAAGAGTAAGTCAGTAACTTTGCATGCTAGAAAAGGTAAGACAGAAAACCACAGTGTGGGATGTAGAATTAGTGTCCAACCCTGGAAGACTGAGCCCCCTCTAGCTTCTTACTGTCCACTGGGTCAAGCAGCCATGCTGGTTCCTGACACCCCTGGTGTTTCCTGAGGGCAACAACCACCACTGTCCTCTCTTTCACCTCCTTCCCTGTCTTGCTCTGGGACATAAAGTGCCTACCACTCCCAGGCTCTGGCCTTAGGCCTCTCAGCTTTCCATGTTTGCTGAGCCTGGTGACGTACTTAGTCACTCAGTTGTGTCCAACTGTTTGTGACCCTTTGGACTGTAGCCCACCAGGCTCCTCTGTCCATTGGGTTTTCCTGGTGACAGCTTCCAGAATCCTGGAATTTGCAGAGGAGCTTAGATAGCCTTGTCAGAGAAATTGCAATTGCGAGTTATCCAAGATGACCAGTTGTATCTTCTCTCTGGTTGTGAAAAAGATATTTTCTGTCTATTTCCTCTTCCACGGAGTCTCAATCATGAGCCTGTTTCCAGAAGACCTCCCTACGCCCTTCTTAATAAATTGCTCTGTTCTGAGCAAACCACACAGTTGGAAGACTTTCCTCAGAGGGAACAGTAAAGACAGAAAATACTGAAGTTGGTTGAACATTTCCCCAGAAATGTCAGGGGACTGTTTAGGGACTGGGCACCTTTAGGTGCTCTTCCTGAGCCCTCATGATGCTGCTCTGTATATGCATATTATCTAACGGATGCCTTCATGGGAATGTTTTGGGGTCCTCGTGAGTGTCACCCAGCCTAAACTACTTGCCATGGAAAATACCTTTCAACTGTGAGAATGTCCCTCACTGGTTCGCAAACTTTAGCATGCTTCAGGATCACTTGGAGGGTTCGTCAACACACAGATGTCTGAACCCCATCCCCATGGTGTCCAATTCAGAAGTCTGGGGTAGGGCCTGAAGTTTTGCATTTCTAACAAGTACCCAGAAGATACTGAAGTTATTGCTCTGAGGACCACACTTTGAGGACCACTTTCCCCTTCCTGGAGATTACTTGGCCAGGTTAACCCTGTGTCTATATGCACACATACAGGTATACAACAGGATCCCAAAAGTGGGGTTCCTCTCCTTCCCTCCTCATATAAGGTTAAAAGCAGTGAATAAGTGGGAAAAGATCCGTGTTGACTCTCAAAGTTGGAATATTGGGAAAGCAATAGATTAGTTCTTTTATTGAACAGAAAGGTTAATTGTGTATAATTTCCCTGTTTTCTATGATTACCACCACACACATAGTGCCTAATGTGATAGGCATGATATTGGCGATCATAACTGTTTTGTTATTGTTACCGTGCCATAATTAAGATTTTTCAAAATACCAAGATTTTTCAAAGTGCTTTTCAAAGTACTCAGAAGTATTTTTCAAGGATTTTTGGTGAATTATCTTAATTTTCTTCTAGAAACCTCAGGAAAATGAAACAATATAGCTTAGAAAATTATTCTAGTGAGCAAAAACCTGACACATTTTAGAATTATATTCTTTCAAGAATCAAACTTGTCACCTCGAATTTATTTTGTGAACATTGCAGCCAGTGCACCAGACCCTTAGAAAACCTATCAACATCACCATTTCAAACATGAGTAAATTTAATTCTAAAACTTAATGTAGTAAGGAAGGAAGGCTGAGTCCCATTTTAATAGGAGATGAACAGAACAAAATTCTATTGCAGAAGTGTGCTCTCCATTAGGACTGTCAGAGCTAATCAGAATAAAAACACCTACATTTTATATTTTGGTTTCTTGACCAGAATTCTTTCCGTTTGACATATTGAACTATTCAGCATCTTCTGATTTTTACCCCCTCCTCTTATCCCCAGAATTTTTGTTACCGGTCTCCTTTCTTTAAGTCTTGTTTCACCACTGTTTTTGTTTGTTATTGCTTTTTGGCCTAAACAATGAAAATATTTTTTTTCAGAGCTATAGAAGCTGAAAGTTGGAGATCACGGTGTTGGCAGAATTGATTTCTTCTGAGCCCTCTAAAAAATTCTTTCTGTTTTTCTATTCAGCTTGAGTGATTTCCACTACTCTTCTAACTCACTGATATGTTCTTCTGTAATATCTAATCTACTACTGACTCTTTCTAATGTACTTTTTATTTCAGTTATTGTATTTTTTCACCTCTGTCTGGTCTTTCTTTATATTTTCTAATTCTATTGAAATTCACACTTTATTCATTTATTCTTCTCCTGAATTTGTTAAGCATTTTTATGATCTTTACCTTCCCTATAACTCAAATGGTAAAGAATCTGCCTGCAGTGCATGAGACCTAGGTTTGATCCCTGGATTGGGAAGATCCTCTAGAGAAGGGAATGGCAACCCACTCCAGTATTCTTGCCTGGAGAACTCCATGAACAGAGGAGCTTGGTGGGCTATAGTCTGTGGGGTCGCAAGGAGACGGACACGACTAAGCGACTAACATTACAACTACTGCTATGTAATCACAACTGCTGCTGCTGCTGCTGCTGCTGCTGCTGCTAAGTCACTTCTGTCGTGTCCGCCTCAGTGCGACCCCATCCCTGGGATTCTCCAGGCAAGAACACTGGAGTGGGTTGCCATTTCCTTCTTCAGTGCATCAAGCAGATTGTTTATCTCCACATTGTTTTATTCTTTCTCTCAGACTTTTGTCTTGTTCATTCATTTGGAACATATTCCTCTGGCTTCTAATTTCGCCTAATTCTCTGTGTTGTTTATTCCTATTGGGTAGGTTGGTCACATTTCCCAGTCTTGCAGAAGTGGCCTTATGTAGGAGGTGTCCAATGAGGCAGCAGCACACTCCCCTTTGGTCACTAGAGCTGTATGCTCTAGGGGTACCCCCCATGTGGGCTGCATGGACCCTTCTCTTGTGGTGGAACTGACTACTGTGGGAGCTCTGGTAGGTGGGGCTCTTCCTGATCTGGTTAATTCCTAGGCTGTTAATTCCATGGTGGCTAGTTGCATGGCCTGGGGATCTTGGAGCTGTTATTGACCTACTGGTGGGTGGGGCGAGGTTCCAGTGCAACTGGCTGTGGGCCCTGACAGGGTCGGGACTGGTGCTCTCCTGCTGGTGGGAAGGCTAGGTCTTAGGGCTTGTTTCACCACTGTCTTTGAATTGACTAAGTGGCCATTGTGAGGAACTCGACACAGATGTTCCAGGCTCCAATAGAGATACTAATATTCTTAATAACAGTGTGAATAACAAATTAACAGTAAATTTTAAAGAAAATATAATTCAATTGACTTTTTCTGTCTTGGGTTCTTTATTTAAAACTGAATAATAGCTCTTTTGGCAGTCTGTACTTTATTTTTACATACTTTGGTGAAAAACATCCAAATACGCATGATTGTGAGGAAACTAGGAACATGCTACAGTGATCAGATAAAACCACCAAGATTTGGACTTAACACAACTGGGCCAGGGTCAGGAAGTTCCCCTGGAGAAGGGCATGGCAACCCACTCCAGTATTCTTGCCTGGAGAACCCCATGGACAAAGGCGCCTGGAGGGCTTCAGTCCATGGGGTCACAAAGAGTCAGACATGACTGAGGGACTCAGAACAGCACAGAACAGCTGGGCCTATTTGTTGTTATCAACTTTGTGATATACTGTGATAGGCTAGGCCTCATCTCAATTCAGACTGAGCCAGTGCTCACCCAACTGGTTTTTTATCCACACTTGAAATAATTTATTTGGCAATCATGGGAATTTCTGCTCTAAAGAAAAGTTATGTTTAATATGATATACATCTATATCTTCACAAGTTTATATATCTTTATGACTTAACAATATATTATAGTAAAAAAAGTTGCAGACTTATTTGACACATTCTTTTTTTTTAAATTTCAGAACTGAAAAGAAAAAAAAAAACCCTCTTACTAAATTATTGGGGGGGAATGGGTTGAAATACAGAGCATGGAACTAGAGATGAACTGTCGAGTATTTTTTAAAATAAACATTTACTCAGCCTCTACTGAGCATTCGTATCTTCCAGGTGCAGTGTCATGCACTGCAGACACAGTGGAGAAGGACACATCCCTACCCTTTATCTCTGAAAATGATACCTTGTGATTTTCACCTGACCTTGTCCCTCTTGTGGACCAGTGTTCCAGCTCCTGTGGAGGCGGAGTTCAGAAGAGAGGGGTCACTTGTCCAGGAGGCCTCTGTGACTGGACTAAACGGCCCACGTCCACCACACCCTGCAGCGGGCACCCTTGCTGTCACTGGGCCGCTGGGAACTGGGACCCGGTAAGAATCAGTTAGAATCTCTCTCATTTGTGTTAGTCTTTTTAAAAAATGGCACTTGTTTTCTTTTGATGTTAAAAGTCATATATTATTCCTGTAAATGTCTAATGTGTCCATTGATTTAAAGTGTTTTATGCATTTATTTATTTTTCATTGAAGGATAATTGCTTTACAGAATTTTGCCGTTTTCTGTCAAACCTCGATATGAATCAGCCATACATATACATATGTCCCCTATCTTTTGAACCTCCCTCCCATCTCCCTCCGCATCCCACCCCTCTAGGTTGTTACAGAGCCCCTGTTTGAGTTTCCTGAGCCATACAGCAAATTCCCCTTGGCTATCTATTTTACATATGGTAATGGAAGTTTCCATGTTACTCTTTCCACACATCTCACCCTCTCATCCCCTCTCCCCATGTCCATAAGTCTGTTTTCTATGTCTGTTTCTCCGTTGTTGCCCTGTAAATAAATTCTTCAGTACCATTTTTCTAGATTCCATATATACGTTAGCATACAGTATTTATCTTTCCCTTTCTGACTCACTTCACTCTGTATAATAGGTTCTAGGTTCATCCACCTCATTAGAACTGACTCAAATGAATTATTTCATGGCTGAGTAATATTCCATTGTGTATATATATACCAAAAATTCTTTCAGTTCTATATTTTACCCTTCTGCTTTCTAATATGTCTAAGTATGCTAAAAGGGCTGACTCATTGGAAAAGACCCTGATGCTTGGAAAGATTAAGGGCAGGAGGAGAAGGTGGCGACAGAAGATGAGATGGTTGGATGACATCATTGACTCAATGGACATAAGTTTGAGCAAACTCTGGGAGATAGTGAAGGACAGGGAAGCCTGGCATGCTGTAGTCCATGGGTTTGCAAAGAGTCAGACACTACTGAGCAACAGAACAAGAACAACGCTGAAAGTTGACCCATGACTGACATGGTGCTCAATGTTAACTATCTTGAGTTCAGAAGAGAAGATCAAATACTTTCAAAAGAGAAAAAATACTAAAAACTAGCTCAGAGGAAGAGAGCCTAAGGAAAAGTGATTTGGGGTCCTAACCATCTTGGATCCTCTGACTTTTTCTAGAGCATATACAAGTTGCATGTGCCCTGAAGCTTGAGGCTTATCATGATATAGTGAAGTTCTGGTCACTTGTCAACCCACAGATTATCAGTTTGCCGAAAGGCCAGCATGTTTGATGGATAGACAAATAAAATCGTTAAATTGTAAATGGAGGAAAGTCTTACAATTCTTACAAAGTTTATTTATTGTAGAAATAAGACTATCAATGACACTGAAAATAAAATAATTCTCCCATAGAATGATTCTTCTATCACTCTGACTTGTTTTATTCTAGGTTCTCTAGAAAATAAAGCCTTGAATCAAAAATCTAATACTTTATAGAAGAAAATACAATGTTAGGGAAGCAGAAATGATAGAAAAGAGGAAGGAGGCAGGGAAGAAGGGGAATCAAGGGCAAGGTGGTCCATTCCCAGGATGACTGTTTTTTCCTAACCTAGACTGCTTGGTGTCTAAGAGCAGCTGATGGCTTGCTCTTGAAAGAAGGTCTTTATAAAGCTGTTTGAACTGCTGTGGCTTAGTTTGTCCAGAGACACGAAGAGAGATTATCTACTGGCTCCTATCTCCCCACATTGTGTAAAAGTCTCCCCTTTGATGGGTAGCATCTCCCATTGTGCTAGGTCATTCAGGTGTGGGCAGGTCTCAGTGGGTCTCACATCTCACTGGCAATAACAAAATTCAGAGTCAGGGTAAGAGGCACACAACAAGCCCAAGGGTTGTGCTTCCATGAAGTGGGTTGCCTCATCAGTTGGGGCCCATCAAAGGCCAACAGTGGGAGACAAGGAGAGCTAGAGGGTCTGACACACTAACCCCTCAACTATTAATATTTTTTAAAGTAACTTGTTCTTATGTAAGTATCTTTTGATGGTTATAATTATAACACAGGCTAATGCAGTATTTTGCCAAATATCATGTCCCCAGATAGTCTTAGATTGATATGTTCTTAGTAATTTTCATTGTTGTACTTGTCTAGTTATACCTGCATAGCCGTGATCAATATGAATGCTGTCATGTACTCTTAAAAAGAAGACTCCTATTGGTGCATCCAACTGAAGGTTGCATCAGTCTCTGGATACCACATCCACTCAACCCGTGAAGAATAAGATGACTCATTACTGCCAAAAGAATATTGTACATTAATCAGTTAGCCTGCAACAAATTAAAAGTACATATTTTATTATTTTCATACCTTAAAAATGCCCAGTAGACAATGAAGAGTGACATCAACCATTCCCTTAGACAGATAGGACCCATAGTAATTTCTATAAATGCCCTATGTTCGTTGACATCGAATGTTGAGTTATGATGAATTGCCAAAGGAGATTCTGGAGTCCAGGCAAGCTTCTGGTTATACATGCTACTAAGCTCTATGCCAGGGGCAGTACCCATCTTCCTCTCTCTCCCATGTGTCTTGTGAACATCAGAAAACAATGTCATACACTTGTATTATTTTTCATAATAAGAAAATTTAATTTACATTCAGGCATTTAAAAATATCTGCCTTGGAAATTTATTTCCTATTTATTAGAGGTTCAGTTATTTCTAAAACCCAGTTTTTCCTCATCCATCTTTGATTTCACAACCTGAAAATATTGTACTCAACAAATAAAGATGTGTCTTAGAATTAAGCTCTTCATAAATACCCTGGTGTCCTCTGTCAAAATTATAAGCATCACTAATCAAATTAAATGTGACCATCAGGAGAGAAAATTTGATATAATATGAACAGTCATAAAAATGCTATGAATTTGGGCCCATTCATGGGCATAAAATCCCACTGGGAGCTTCCCAGGTGGCCCAGTGGTAAAGAATCTACTTGCCAATGAAGGAGACCGAAGTTTGATCCTTGGGTCAGGAAGATCCCCTGGAGAAGGCAATGGCACCCCACTCCACTATTCTTGCCTGGGAAATCCCATGGACAGAGGAGCCTGGCAGGCTAGAGTCCATTGGGTCACAAAGAGTCAGACACAACTGAGTGAGCATGCATGCAATGTTCTTGAATATGTACCACACCCACCTCATCCATTTATCTGTTGATGGACATTTAGGTTTCTTCAGTGTCTTGTCTAGTGTAACGACTACTGCAGTGAACATTGGGGTGCATGTGTCTTTTTTTTTTTCCATTTATTTTTATTAGTTGGAGGCTAATTACTTTACAGTATTGTAGTGGTTTTTGCCATACATTGACATGAATCAGCCATGGATTTACATGTGTTCCCCATCCCGATCCCCCCTCCCGCCTCCCTCCCCATCCCATCCCTCTGGGTCTTCCCAGTGCACCAGCCCTGAGCACTTGTCTCATGCATCCAACCTGGGCTGGTGATCTGTTTCAAAGATGGTAACGATAACCCTATATGCATGTGTCTTTTTGAATTATTCTTTACTCCAGACACATACCCGGGAGTGGTATTGCTGGATCATATGGCAACCTTAGTTTTTAAGGAGCCTCTATACTATTCACCATAGTGGTTGTACCAATTTACATTCCCACCAATGGTATAGGAAGGTTTTTTACCCACACCTTCTCCAGCATTTATTGTTTGTAGGATTTTTTATTATGGTCATTCTGACCAGGGTGAGGTGATACCTTATTATAGTTTGGATTTGCGTTTCTCTAATAATTAGTGAGGGCTTCCCTAGACCTCAGTGGTCAAGAATCTGCCTGCCAATACAGGAGACGCAGGTTTAATCTCTGGATCAGGAAGATCCCTTGGTGAAGGAAATGGCAAGCTACTCCAGTATTCTTTTTTTTTTTTTTTTTTTTTTTTACTCCAGTATTCTTACCTGAGAAATCCCAAGGACAGAGGAGCCTGGTGAGCTACAGTCCATGGGGTTGCAAAAGAGTTGGACATGACTTAGCCATTAAAACAACAATGATAATTAGCAATGTTGAGTACCTTTTTTTTTTTGTCTCTGTGGCATGTGAGGTCTTAGTTCCCCAAATAGGGGTTGAACATGTGCCCCCTTACATTGAAAGCTCGGAGTCTTAAGGACTGGGCCACCAAGGAAGTCTCAGTGTTGACTATCTTTTCATGTGCTTTTTAATTACCTGTATGTCTTCTTTGGAGAAATGTCTATTTAGCTATTCTGCCCAATATTTTTTTATTGGGTTGTGGGCGTTTTTTTTTTTTTTTTAATATTGAGCTGCCTGAGTTGTTTGTAAATTTTGAATATTAATCCCTGGTCAGTCCTTTCATTTGCAGATACTTTCTCCCATTCTGTGAATTGTCTTTTCATTTTGTTTACGGTTTCCTTTGCTCTGCAAAAGTTTTTAAATTTAATTAGGTTCTGCTTGTTCATTTTTGTTTTAATTTTCATTCCTCTAGGAGGTGGATCAAAAAAGATATTGCTGTGATTTATGTCAGAGTGTTCTGCCTCTGTTTTCCTTTAAGAGTTTGATGGTATCCAGTCTTACATTGAGGTCTTTAATCCATTTTGAGTTTATTTTTTGTATATGGTATTAGAGAATATTCTAATTTCATTCTTGTACATTGGAAAACTGGTAAATTATCCAATTTTCCCAGCACCAGTTATTGGAGAGACTGTCTTTTCTCCACTGTGTATTATTGCCTCCTTTGTCGAAAATTAATGGACCACAGGTACATGGGTTTATTTCTAGGCTTTCTGCTGTATTCCATTGATCTACATTTGTCCTGCCCAGGGGGCCTCTGTGACTTCAGCACCCAGGACCACCAGCCCAGCCTAGTTCCATCAGATCCTTAGAAGTAGAAAGCAAGAACAGAAGTCATATGTTCTTTATCTAACAATCTTATTTTACAGTGGAAGAAAGAGAGCGGTTGAGTGAGATCCAGGACGATGTGTAAGAGTGAGAAATCCCAAGTTTCCTGAATTCTGGTCCAGGACATCCAACACCCTTTATTAATTTCCCTTGTTCTTCCCTCTGTCCTGTGTTGCACACTTTGTCTACTCAGGATCAGTTACATAGTTATTTTCTTATCTTTTTCCCCACAGAGAATTTGATTCATATCCATTTTATTCACTGAATAAAATTACCTTTAGGTTTAATCAGAGGAATCTCTGACTTTATAAAACAACATGAAGTTCCATGCTTATCACCTTGCTGTAGGCTTTATGAAGAACAGATTAAAATAAAGCTGTGGGTGTTAAGAAAAAATTGATGTTTCTCCTCTTATCGCATTTGGAATTTTGTGGGAAACAGGGTTTGGTAGCAGTATTCTGAGTTTCAGTAGTGCCCCAGTGTGGGTAGTATTTTAAAATCTAGTAATCTTGTTGACTGTCTAAGCCAGATGCAAACAATTGACTCATTGTAAAAGTCCCTGGTGCTGGGAAAGATTGAGGGCAGGAGAAGAGGGCATCAGAGGATGAGGTGGCTGGATGGCATCACCAATGCATTGGACTTGAAACTTGGGCAAACTGCAGGAGATGGTGAGGGACAGGGAGACCTGGTGTGCTGCAGTCCACGGGGTCGCAGAAAGTCAAACATGACTTGGCGACTGGACAACAATCACAGTCTTATTGACCAACAGTAATTCAAATGGCAGATGGAATATTTAGGGCCTGTAGATTTTTCCAATATTTGGCATGCAGCAGTCTTTTTCTATCAGTCAATCAATGAGTATTTACTGAATGGTCAGGCTATGTTTAGCACTTACCTCCTTGCCATGCAGGATAAAGAAAGGAGAACTGGTTTCTTCCCTTAGGGAGATTTTAATTATATAAGAAAGATGAGGCTAAAAGTAGTAAAATATGAAATAGAATGTGAATCATAAGAGTATATGTGGTTCACAATAGCCGAAAGGTGGAAGCTACCCAAGTGTCCATCAACAGATAAAGAAAATGTGTTCTCAAAAAAAAAAAAAATGTATTCTCTACATACAATGGAATGTTGTCGCATCTCAGAGAGGAAATTCTGACCCTTGCTATAACATGGAGGAAACTTGAAGATGTTAATTGAAATAAGCAAGTCACAAAATGACAAATACTGTATGGTTCCACTCATATGACGTACCTCAAGTAGTCAAGTTCACTGAAAAAAAATTTAGAAGGATAGTTGCCAGGGGTGGGATAAGGGTGGGTGGAGGGATAGAGAGTTTCTATTTGGGACAATGGAGACGTCCTAGAGATGTTTGGTGGTAACGATCATAGAACAATGTGCATGTATTTAAGTGAAACTGTATAGTGGAAAATGGTTAAAATAAATATTACGTTTTACATATTTTTATTGTTATTGTTCAGTCGCTGTCATGTCCAGTTCTTTGCGACTCCATAGCAAACTCCTGCAGCACGCCAGGCTTCCCTGTCCTTCATTATCTCCCAGAGTTTGCTCAAATTCATGTTTACTCAGTTGGTGATGCTATCCAACTATCTCATCCTCTGTCGTCCCCTTCTCCTCCTGCCTTCAATCCTTCCCAGCATCAGGGTCTCTTCCAGTGAGTTGGCTCTCTGCATCTGGTGGCCAAAATATTAGAGCTTCAGCTTCAGCATTAGTCCTTCCAATGAACACTTAGGATTGATTTCCTTTAGGATTGCCTGGTTGATCTCCTTGCAGTCCAAGGGACTCTCAAAAGTTTCTGTAACACCACAATTTGAAATCATCAATTCTTCAGTATATATTTTACCACAATAAAAATAATTTTTTAAAAGACTGTCTATATATATGTATATATAATATATTCAGACACATTTTATTACATCCCCAGGATGGTTTTCACAGCCCAGAGAGTCTTATTATGCTTCCAGGCAGCCATATACATCAGGACATTACATGAATCTTGTCTGTTAGGTGGCTTGAGGCCACACATGCATCCAAGTCCATTCCAAATCCTCCCTCCATTCCACCTTGCTTTTCTTCTCCCTCTTCCCTTTTTATCCTCTCTCAGCCTTCCTTGTAGCTCTGCGCCCTCTCCTCACACCTGATTCCCAGCCCCAGGGTCAAACCAGTTTAGGGAAACTGGATTACTGAGGCACCAGGACCCAGATATGAAATTTTTTCTATGTTGCTTGAAGTTCACCCTCTGTCCACATTCTTCAGAGAACCCAATAGTAAATTAAGCCAAATTCAATTGCCAGTCTATAACCTAAACTCTTCCCAAATTCACATCTCCAAATCATTCCTGCTTCTATTCTATGACTTCTTCAAATAGACTTGTGATAATTGAGGCTTCCCCTACTTGACCGTCCTTCTGGGTGGCACTAGTGGTAAAGTATCTGCCTCCCAGTGCAGGAAACTTAAGAGATGTGAGTTCAATCCCTGGGTTCCCCTGGAGGAGGGCATGGCAACCCACTCCTGTATTCTTGCCTGGAGAATCCCATGGACAGAGGAGCCTGGCGGGCTACAGTCCGTGGAGTCACAGAGTTGGGCATGACTGAAGCGACTTAGCAGCACGACCTACTTGATCACCGTGGGGTTAGAGCACCTCTGCCAGAGTGCCCCCAGCGATCTTGGGGGAGAATTCTGACTCACTCCACGTGCCCCTCTCTTCCAGTGCACTGTGTCCTGTGGAGGTGGCTTTCAGAAGAGGACTGTCCATTGCGTGGCCTCAGAGAACAATAAAACCGAAAGCCAGGACCAATGCCTGTGTGATCACGAACCCAGACCCCCAGAATTCCAGAAGTGCAACCCGCAGGCCTGCCGGAAGAATGCTGGTAGGTGAATGGCTTTGCTCAGGGGGGCATAGAGCTTTTCATAAGTAAATTGTCCTGCATGACTCGGTCTGTGGGCCATTTTAGTCCCTGTTATTGAGCCGGCTTCCCTGGAAGCCATTTGTCTGATTTGGTGAAGTTTGACTCTAGTTCCTTGAGGGACCATCTCATCCTTTTTCCTATCTCAGAGCACGTTCACACTGACTTCCCACACCGATGAGAATCGCTTCTGTTTTTTCAAAGGTTTCTGAGATATGTTCTATCGAGCCTTTCTTAGGAACCCAGTCAAGTGCTAAATGGCCCTTTCTATCATCTAGCACTGCTGTCTTAGGCTCTGCAGAAACAGACTCCAAGGTGCACAGTTGTGTGCCGGGGATTCGTTAAGGAAGTGCTCCCCGGAAGATGCTGAGGGAGAGGGAAACAAGACAGAAAAGGGAGAAAGCACAGCCAGCCTGCCATTTGAGACACAGTCCTGGCTTCAGCCTGGTCCCACGGGGATGCTGCAGGGGAAAGTTAAGTCTCAGAGCTGTCTGCTCTTGAGGCCAGTGGGCTGAGAGTTGACAGACCCACGCTCTCGTACCATTGACCAACAGCTCTCAGGAAAAGTAGACTTGAAGGTATTTAAGGCTCTCTACCAGTAGTAGCCTTTTTTTCAAATATTTTTAAGCATGAGATGTAGTCAAACCTGTGGTTTATAGATCTGTTCCTTGCCTCCTTCCAAGCACTGAGGGCTGGCATTCAGCAGAGACTGTGGTCAGAGTAAATATATTGAGAAGAGTTTCCCTAAAGATTGTTTATCTACAGATCATGTATTTATTTAACAATTATTTGTTGGACACTTGCTGTGTGCCAAACATAATATCAAATGAGGAAGATCACCAACCAGTGAGATACTGGTCAAGTTATGACGTTAAGAGAGTACTTGGGAAGGTCATCAGACATAAACTGGGGGTGGGGATGGAGGGAAGCAAAAGATGAGTAGAGAGGTCAGGTTCCAGTTTCCAAGAGCAGCTTTCAGGGCATGCAGTAAGCAGGAAGATGATGATGTCATGGCATGTAAGACTAAATACAGTACACAGTTCAAGGGGAGTTAGGAAGCAATAGAACTAGAGAGGTAAGCTGGAGCTAGAGGGTAAAGAGCCTCATGAAGCACGCTGATATGCTGCTTTATGCCTAGGGCAGATGGGAGCCCTTGATGTATTCCAAACAGAGGGGTGAAGGTAAGAGAGTCATGCTTACTGTGGAAGGTGGAGAAGGGGACCAGGTCAGAGATGCAACTGTGCCTTAATCAGGAGATGTGTGTGGCATGAACTAAGGCAGCAGAAGTGCAGACAGACAGAAGTGAGTGGATTCAAGGGCTGCTTAAAAGAGAGACCTGACAGGACTTTGTGTGGGAAAAGAGGCAGAGAACACAGCCCAGAGGTCCGACTGGGGTGGCTGAGTAGATGAGGCTACCATTCCCTGAAAGAGGAGGCCCAGGGTGGATTTGGGAACCAGGAAAGGTATTGTGTTCTGTGTGGGATATGTTTTCAGAGGAGTCTATGAATCTAGGTAGGAGTGGCCTGTGATTGGTTTTTACACAGGTGCAGAAGTCAGGAGAGAGGTATGGGTTGGAAATCCTCCACAAAGTGCACTGAGAAAATGCTTCAGATCTAATGATCACATGCAGCTTCTCTTTGAGCAGCATGCATTTGACAATGGCTATCGCTGACCTTACTTGAAACTCCAAACAGAGCTACCAGAGGCTTGTTTTCAGAGGTTTTATTAAGTTTTAGCCTTCCAGACTCTTGGCTACTCAAAGTGTGGCCTCTGGACTAGCTGCCTTGGCATCACCTGGGAGCTTGCCAGAAATGCACGATCTCAGGCATCACCCCAGACCTACTGAATCAGAATCTGCATTTAAACAAGAATCCCAGGTGATTTGGATGTGCCTTAAAGTTTGAGAAGCACCCTGTTCTATTTTTTAATTTTATTGAAGTACGGTTGATTTACAATGTTGTGTTAATTTCTACTGTACAACGAAGTGATTCCATTATATGTATTCTTGTTCATGTCCTTTCCCATTATGGTTTATCACAGGATATTGAATATATTTACCTGTGCTATACAGTAAGACCTTGTTGTCTATCCATTCTATGTATATAATAGTTTGCATCTGCTAATCCCAAAAGCCTAATCCATTCCTTTCCCACCCCCATGTTGGTAACCACAAGTCTGTTCTCTATGCCTTTGAATCTGTTTCTGTTTCATAGACACATTCATTGGGGTCATATTTTAGAATCCACATTCAGTATAAGTGATAGCATGTAGTATTTGTCTTTCTCGTTCTGACTGACTTCACTTAGTATGATAATCTATAGTTACCTCATTGTAGTTTTGATTTGCATTTCTCTAATAATTAGCAGTGATGAGCCTCTTTTCATAAGAAGCACCCTGTTCTAGACCAAAGGGTCAATTTGGAACTCTTCCTTTCATTTCATCACATTCTGTGGTACCACATTTTTAAAACGCTGAGGGCACAGAATCCTTCTAAGTTATGTTGGTTTTTATGTAATTGAGGCAGCAACATAGTGTTGGTTGACCATGCCTAGGGTCTGTTGTTGTTGTTGTTTATGGCTGTACCATGCAGCATGCAGAATCTTAGTTCCTTGACCAGGGACTGACCCATGCTCCCTGCAGTGGAAGCATGGGGTCTTAACCACTGAACAGCCAGGGAAGTCCCTATTGGTTATTTTAAATAAATTTACATTGCACTGCCCAGCAACATGAAAGTTAAAGACAATTTTCAACAATCAAAATCGGGTTAAATGTGTATCTGATAATTTTTACATTGAAATCACACACTGAAGAGATGATGACTAACAGTTGGCTGGCAATGGATGTAAATAACAATGAATTCTACTTACCAACAATTATCAGGACAACAAAAGGTGATTACAAGCTTCTTTTGAAGGCAGAGCCATTCTTACTCATATAGAAGCAACAGGAAAGAGCAGCTGCATGAAATTCTTTGATTTAAAAAAAACTACCCTGACCCCCGTGCCCTCTAAAATACTTTGAAATAAGTCATCCGATGCCCAGATTCGTCTCAACTAGCCAGCCACCACAGTAAACATGCCCCCAAGCTCATCTTGGACTTCCCAGGTGGCGAGTGGTAAAGAATCCACCTGCCAATGCAGGACACACAGGAAACGCGGGTTCAGTCGCTGGGTCAAGAAGTTCCCTGGGAGACAAAAATGGCAACCCACTCCAGTACTCTTGCCTGGGAAATCCCATGGACAGAGGAACCTGGTGGGCTACAGTGCATGGGGTCACAAAGAGTCAGACATGACCGAGTGACTGAGCACATGCCTATCTTGTAAAATCAGGTATGAATTCATGTAAGGTTTGCCTTTTACTTCCTTTAGGTGCTATCTCTAAATTGTTAGTGACTTAAAATCTAAATTAGAATGACCACTTTCATAGTGGGGACTATAGAATCTAAGTATCTCAGTTTAAAACATTTTTAAAAGTTCATTCAGAAATATTTACTGAGTATCATCTATACTCTAGACATTACATTCATAATGATTAAAAATCAAAAGCTAACCCTTTATGCACACCATTCTTTTTTTTTTTTTCATTTATTTTTATTAGTTGGAGGCTAATTACTTTACATCATTGCAGTGGTTTTTGTCATACATTGAAATGAATTAGCCATGGATTTACATGTATTCCCCATCCCGGTCCCCCCTCCCACCTCCCTCTCCACCCGATCCCTCTGGGTCTTCCCAGTGCACCAGGCCCGAGCACTTGTCTCATGCACCCAACCTGGGCTGGTGATCTGTTTCACCCTAGATAATATATGTGTTTCGATGCTGTTCTCTTGAAACATCCCACAACTTCTCCCAGAGTCCACAAGTCTGTTCTATACATAGGAGTCTCTTTTTCTGTTTTGCATATAGGGTTATCGTTACCATCTTTCAAAATTCCATATAAATGTGTTAGTATACTGTAATGGTCTTTATCTTTCTGGCTTACTTCGCTCTGTATAATGGGCTCCAGTTTCATCCATCTTATTAGAACTGATTCAAATGAATTCTTTTTAATGGCTGAGTAATATTCCATGGTGTATATGTACCACAGCTTCCTCATCCATTCGTCTGCTGATGGGCATCTAGGTTGCTTCCATGTCCTGGCTATTATAAACAGTATGCACACCATTCTTGAGTTGTTGTTTTTCAATTTGGGGAATGAGGGGTACAGAAGTAAATAAAAATAATGAAAGTAATAGGGAATGACAGTACTTAAGTTGATACAAATAAACATTTGAGTCAGTAGACTTTAAAAATTTTTTGTCCCAGTTTTATTTGAGATATAATTGACATATAGCACTGTATAAGTTTAAGGTGTACAGCATAATTATTTAATTACATACAACAGGGAGTGATAATCATGAAAAGTTTACAAATGGACATCATCTCATAGAATCAAAATTAAAGAAATAGAAAAAATTGTTTTCTTGTGATGAGAATGCTTAGGATTCCTCTTAACCACTTTTGTATATAATGTACAGCATCACTAATTATATTTGTCCTGTTATATATTACATCCTTAGTACTTACGTTATAACCAGAAGTTTCTACCTTTTGATTGCCTTCATCCAATTCCCCCTCCACCACACCACCCACCTCTGTTGTTGTTCACTTGCTAAGTTGCGTCTGTCATTTTGTGACCCCATGAACTGCAGTTCTGCAGGCTTCCTCGTCCTTCACTATCTCCCAGAGTTTGCTCAAACTCGTGTGTATTGAGATGGTGATGCTATCCAACCATCTCATCCTGCCTTCGATCTGGTGAAAAGACACCACCTCTGGTAACCACAAATCTGACCTATTTCTCTATGAGTTAGTTTTTAAAGCATAACAAACAACACCGTTAGTTCCTGGTATACAACATAGTGATTTGATATTTCTATACAGTTCAAATTGATCATAATGATAAGTCTAGGTATGGTATGTCACCAT